GAAAAAAAAAAAAAGAGACACCTCAAGTATTTTTGCTGCTAACAAGCTATTTTTCTAAGCAATTTAAAAATCAGAAGCCAAAAGAAAAAAAACATTTTTAGCAAAGTAACACCAAACTTAAGCCGACGTCCGAAATCATGACAGTAGAGAATGACCTTTCACAGGAGATACTCACCTTTCTCTCCCACCTCTCTCTCTTGCACGGCTATACTACAATTGCTCGATGTAGTACTGGCTTCAAAGCCATTAGCAGACTCGCTTTCACAGAGACCCTCCTGCGACTCTTCAGCCACGCTGTCGACTTCAATGGTCATGTCGCTTTCACTCTTGACACTGCGCGACTCGTCCTGGCTAAGAGCAAGAGGTGAGGCCACTGAAAAGCTTGACTGGACAGCAGGGGGTAAGGCAGATGGATTTGAAGTTGAAGCATTAGGGTCTGGCTTTTCTGATAGTGTATCTTCACTACTGCTCTTCTCCTTTTCGTCCAAGTCATCCAAGTCTACTTCATGGCAAAGCAAAGTTTCAGGACCAATCTGAGGCATTGCATCATCCTCATCTTTTAAGGGAACGTTCTCATTTTCTTCAGATGGGTGTTCAAAGTTCTCATTCCTCAGCTCTTGCCCGTGCTGAACCGACTCTGCCACCAGGGATGGCATCTCCTCGTTTTCAGTTCTGAGAGCCTCTTCAGCGTTCAGCCCTCTACATTCCTCCGCTCCAGTACATTCATTGGTCCTCTCTTCAGATACAATATTTGGCACTTCCATCTCACTCTCTCGTCGATTTCTCTTCTCAGGCGATGCCTGTTCCAAAGTTTTCCTTTTCAAAAGCTTCTTATCTTTCGTAGAAGGTTCTGTTTCACTTTCAGTAGTGTTGGAAATTTCTTTACAGTCCAAGGAAGACATGTCTAATCTTTCAGGTTCTGCAAGAGATTCATTTGCCACCTCTTCTTGGCTTCCTGGTGAAATCTTTGCATTCTCTAGAGAAGGATCTTTTGTCTTGCTCCTTCTCCCTTTTCCTTTAGGTGATTTTTCAGCCTCCCTTTTGATTTCTTCTGTTGGTTCTGTTTTATTTCCAAAAATCTGAACAATTTGTTCACCTTCTTCAACTTCCAGTTTCAGTGTTTCTAGTGGCTGTACTTGAGTCCTGTCATTTTCTTTCAATGCATGAGGAATCTTTGGGTTTTCTTCATCTAGCTTCTCATCGTGTAGTTTTTCACTT